TATATGTACTTAATTTTGACAAACTATGAGTCTATTTCTGTATGTTTTCTGCATAGATGTATATATACTGTTCTTTTGTCAATCAGTTAGCTATCTTATTAGATAACTTTGGGACCTTCTGACATTTTTGCCAAATGGCCATTCTTTCCATACCCAAAAGTTCTTTTCTAGGAATATCATCAATGTTCAGAGCCAACATTAGTACTCTTTTTTTCTTTTTTTAGTTGTAGTTTGGGTGAAACTTTACAGAGCAAATTGGTTTTCCATTCAACAATTTATACACATTTTGTTTCATGGCATTGGTTGCATTCCTCTCAATGTAACATCACTCTTGCCACTTCCATCTTGGGTTCATTTTTTCCTATCCCTTCCTGCCTTCTGAGTTTTGTTTTTGGGAAAATGCTGCCCTTTTTATCTTGTATGGTTGATTGTACTGAACAGTATATTCCTTCCTGGTATTATTATTCACTTTATAGGTCTACTGTTTAGCTCACAGTTGATCCCTAAGGGTGAGTTCAGTTGCAGGCTTGAAGGGTTTCTTGGGGCCAAAGTTTCTGGGATTCCACCATTCTCTGTCAAACCAGTAAGTCTGGGCTTCTTCTATGAGTTTGAATTTTGTTCTATACTTATTTTCTCCTTCTCTGTCCAGGACTTTCTATTGTGATCATCAGAGTGGTCAACAGTGATAGTGGGCATCATCTAATTCTTCTGGTCTCAGGGTAGTGGAGGCTGGGATTTGTGTCATCCACTAGTCTTTTGGACTAATTGTTGTCTTGAATCTTTTATTTTCTTCACTCTTCTGTGCTCCTTGGTGGGGATAGACCAATAGCTTCATCTTAGATAGCCACACCCAAGCTTATAAGACCTCAGTCACTACTCACCCAAGATGTAGAATATTGTCTTTGTAGACTGTTATGCCACTTGACTTCAGTGTCTCCTGGGATTGCGTTTCCAAGTCCCCAAGCCGTATGACTCCTTTTCCTCAAGGTGTTTGATTATGGCTAAGAAGTTTTCCGATCGTTGCCCTCTGTATGCTCTACAATATCCTGGGATATATTTACTGCACATACAAATACATGTGTAGAAATATCTTCTAACAAACCTATATATATTCACGGATATACTCTCGTTCACTTTCACACTTCTTTTCAGCTTGCATGTCTACCTATGTATCTGCCTGTAGATGTTGTTTGCTGTTAGTATTATTGCAGGATTGTGTATGTAATCGTATTTACCTTTGTTATCTTTTACTGTTGTGCACTTCCTGGTGATTTCCTTTGTTACTGATCATGTTCTGCTGCCCTTCCTCTTATTGTATATATTATCTTTCCCTTTACTCAAGTTAATATGTGTCCAATCTCTAGTTGGTGATTTACTCTCTCTGTCTCTATCATCCCTGATAACCATCAAAAAATGTTTCTTTCTGAGTCTGTGACCAACATGGTGGCATTGGGGAAAGGAAGGACACGGTAATGGACACATAGGATATAGACAACAGAGGCAAATAATAGTATATGCACAATACTGCATTACCACTAACAACAAATACCAGGCTACAGATAAAGGCATAGACAAGTGAGAAGATCAGGTGGGGGTTGGCAAACAGGAATATACTCTAGACCAAGAATAGATTTAGCTGAAGATAATCTTACATATGCACTTGTGCTACAACATTAACCACACACATTACAGAAGCAACAGAAGACAGAGTAGGAGTAACCTCTCAGAAACAACCAAACACCTTGAAAGAGAGAATCACCGGGCCTACCAACTCGGGACCATAGTCTTGGGGGACACCAAGCTCAATTGGCACAACATAGTACATAAAAATCTTGTTCCACGACTTACTTTCGTGAGTAGCGACTGGGGTCTTAAAAGCTTTCAAGCAGCCATCTGAGATATGACTGTTGGTCTCCTCTCATCTGAAGCAAAGAAGAGTAAAGAAAATTAAAGGCATCTGGAAACAATTAGTCCAAGGATATGATGGACCCTGAGACTGGAAGAACTAGATGGTGCACGGCTACCAATGCCAATCACCCGGGAAGGGATCAAAACTGGAGATCCTAGATAGAGTGGGAAGAAAATGTGGAACAAAATTCAAAAACACAAAAATGACCAGAATTACTGGTCACATGGGGTCTGGTGGAACCCTCAACACTATGGCCCTGGGTTACACTTCAGGACTAGAATTGGACTCACTCCCAAGGATTGGCTCTGGGCCCAACGATGGAGGGACCTACATGCAGAACACCTACCTTAGGGTGATGCACCCACTTACTCTAAAGAGATGCACCCCTTAGAGCAATCATATGAGGCACCAAAGGGGCAGTATTCACATAGAAGAAAAGCTGGACAGATAGGAGTACATGGCTAGGAAGGGCACAAGGAAGGGGTAGCCACAGGGAAGCGAGAGGAGAGTTTGTTAAGGTCGAGGATGTTAATGAGGGCATGACATCAAATGTACACAAACTGTTGAATGTAAAACAAATTTTGCTTTATAAGTTTTCACTCAATGCACAAGAAAATTAAAAAAAAATGTTTCTGTGTGTAAACCTTTTCTTGACGTTTTATAATAGTGGATTTAAAAGGTATTTGTCTTTTCGTGATTGACTTATTTCACTCAGCATAATGTCTTCCAGCTTCATCTATGTTATGAGCTATTTCATGGATTCTTTATTATTCTGTATCATTGTGTAGTATTCCATTGTATGTGTGTACCCTTTATTTATCCATTCATCCATTGATTGGCACATAGGTTGTTTCCATCTTTTTGCTATTGTGAATAATGTTATAATAAGCCTGGGTGTTTATATATCTGTTTGTGTCATGACTCTTATTTCTCTAGGATATATAACTAGTCATGGGATTGCTGAATCATAAGCTATTTTTATTTCCAGTTTTCTAAGAAAGCACCATACTATTTTCCACTGTAGTTGTACCATTTTATAGTCCCACCAGCAGTGTATAAG